TACCGACTGCTTATAAGAAATTAAATGCGGAGGTTATGAGGTACGCTATTTAGGAGGAACAAGTAGACAGTTAAATTGCTGATAAGCTTAACACAGAAGATGCACACGATATCCCCCCAAGAATAGTATTCAGCGAGACAAACTGGAAAAGGATTCAGCCATTGCCCTACACGCGTTATCAGAAGGACATAATATACTATGCAACAAAAAGTGAGTGGTCTTTACAGGTTTGCCTATCCGTGCAGAGCACTGTTGCGCGGAGTCACGCTCACTTATTCTACAACCGGTTATGAGAAATGGGACGATAGTCGAACTTGGCCAAACATATGTCTAAGTTCACTGAACGCGACCAAAGGCAGAAATGTGCCCAGTGAAAATCAATCCTAGACGCGCTCATACATACCAAACACACCCACACACGCTGTTTCACACCATTCGTTACACGGTGAACTTTCACGATGACCTGTATTCGGCCTTAGTTCCCTTGCCATTTTAATTGACATTACCAACGGGTTCGCATACTGTTGACGAAGACCACCTGAAGTGGCGATACATTACTTCTGTTCAACCAGAGTTTGGTTAATTGTAGAATCTATTTGAGTAATCGTCGAGAACTTTGATTAATTGGTAATGACCTTTGTCATTTCGGTTTTATCCCCCTCCATGTCACGGGAAAGTGAATTCCAATATCATCATGTAAAAAGGAACATGGTCATGCGGTGGAACGAACGCTTTATGAGGTTGAATACCTCTTTTTGATGATTATTTATTTTCAAAATTGAATAGAGAATACAGTAGGTTTACGTTGCACAATTTGCATTTCGCTGTATCTCATCAGGTGCATATATAATTATATATATTATATAATATTCATGATCACAATAAGTTGATACGAATTACCGCTAATAAGTACATAACTGTCATAGTTTCTATCATGGCGACGCCAAGGTAGTGAATAACTCCTTTTGCTCACACAAAACAGGCTTTCATCTCTAAATCACAATTGCTTAAGCAAACTGCGGTGAACGTGAATCGTTGTTGGATAGGAACACGGAGAACACAGTAGTTCGAATTGATACTTTGTCTCAAGCAGATGACGTGCTATGGAAGAGGTTGATGCCTGTCTGATCGGTGACCTTTGACCCATTTCCCATTGACTGACAAAAGTTTCCATCCATCATGAGATATGTTCAATCACTCTCAGTCGAAGTTGCCTAGGTAGGTAGCCGAGCGCCCACACGTCAATCTCTTCCACAAACTCAATGCCATCCATATAAATATGAACCCATCCATCAAGCACGAACGTGACAACAACTTCGCATTTCTGGACTTGCTGATAACCAGGTGCCAATACGGTAGTGTGCACCGATCTGTGTACCGTAAACATACGTGGTCGGGCTTGAATCTACACTTCACCAGCTTTGTACCACTGAGTTACAAACGTGGCTTAGTGAGAACGATGTACAATAGAGCCCGTAGATTGTGTACACCCGGCACACTAAGCGATGATATTGATCTATCAAAAGTCTTTCAGTCCAATGGCTACTCAGAAGCGTTTGCACTGCACACAAACCAAAAAAACAATCAATATCCGTCCAAAAATGCAAGGTTTTCTTGCAGTTACCATTCAAGGGCGATGATCTGGTCGATCTGTTTCCGCGACGCCTCGAATCGATGATCAAACAGTCATACCATTTCGACGACCCTGTCCTACTTTACACCTACCGACCACCACCCGTCCCCTCGGTCAAGAAACCGTTACCAACTCATCCCAAATCTCACCTCCCATGTATGTTCACGTGTGAGTGCTCGGTGGGTCGACACTTTTGTCAATCAATGGGAAACAGGTCAAAGATCACCGATCGGACAGGCATCAACCTCTTCCATAGCACGTCATCTGCTTGAGACAAAGTATCAATTCGAACTACTGTGTTCTCCGTGTTCCCATTCAACACAAATTCACGTTCACCGCAGTTTCCTCAAGCAATTTTGATTCGAAGATTAAATCGATATTCGCGAAGAAATTTCTTTTCGATATATCGCATCAGGTATTGACATGTACAAGTTGATTGTAGAACAGGTATCTGATGGGCCGGTCAAAGCTCAGTTAATAACGATGACAGAGGTTAGCAAACAGAGCAAACAAGGCTAGTGATAGTTATGGTGGGGGTGAGAGCACAAAGGTCAAATGAAAAACGTTAGAGGGGTGGGCAGATTAAAATGAAGGTTGTGAGCTAAGACGAGAGAGTGGGGTGAAGTTACAGTACAGTTACAGTGAAGATACAGCAGAAACAATATGTCATGCATGGTAAGTGATATAATCTGGAACGGACACGAGATAAAAATAAAAAAGCTATTTCTTAAGATTGTTAGGAATAAAGTTGAAACGCGAGGAAATTTCTTGTTGATATCTCGCTTCAGGCATTTACATATATATAGTCTGATTAGTCAGTAGATTAAAACAAGGCTTAGGCTGAATTTGAGTGAATGTCCGTGTCCAAAACGTTCAGTTGACATTGTTCACTCAAGTTTAGCCTAGGTCTTGTTTTATTCTACTGACTAATCGAACTATATATGTACATGCCTGCAGCGA